TGGTGGTGGTGGTAGTAGTAATAGTAGTAGTAGCGGCAAGACATGTCCATAGTCCATGTCCGCAGTCTCTCCTTAGTCACATTTTGGTCGACTCTGCACTTACTGCTTCTCCGTCGAGTCCAGTTGTTCCCTTTGGTCCAGGGGTGCCAGCTGTTCCCATGCTACCTGGTGGTCCGTTGATTCCCGTTCGTCCTCTTGGGCCAGATTCTCCCTACAAGAGTAGAATCACAATTCTTTTAAGTAGCTTATGACTGTCATTCTCTATATTGTTTATTTACGGAATGGCAGTATTGATGCAACATAATCACACACAGAAACATTTTTAACATGAAAAAGAATTGCTTTCTTTCCGATCCTTGAGGGTCGGTTTGTTTTTGAGACATATGAGAGTGTTTTTAGTCTTGAGCAATAACTACATATTAATCTACATACTTTTGATCCTGCCACTCCATTTTTGCCAGGTTCTCCAGGCATTCCATCCGACCCCTTTTAAAAACAAAGAACTTTGTCAAAATTTCTCTTTGTAAGGCATAGTTAAAAAAAGGCGCTCATAAAGCGCATGTGCCTACTACTTTTTGGATAGTAATAAACTCTAACTCCATTATTTTTGTGTGTGTGTTTGTACGGTCATTCCATAGTGAGTACTAATAGTGTAGTTGTTTTATGGGTTGTATTACTTGATGTTTTTTCTTTCATTGATTTTTTTTGTTTATATTTGCTGATGGGTAAAATCACTGATCTTGTAGAATCTTTTTGACACAGAAATTCTCACAAATTTGTCATGTAGTCGGAGTGAAGTAAAAGGCGACGAAGGTTTTTTCAGCAGAGAATTTTAGGGGGGAGGCTAATTGAGTTTGGGGGGGGGGGGGCTAATTGAGTTTCTTCCGTCAACACAACGGAAAACAATAAAAAAAAAGCATCTAATTCTTCAGTTTTGTTTTGTTTTTCTTTTCTGCTGAAGGGGGGCCCCCTTTGCCCTCCCTGGATCCGCCCTTGTGTTTGTAGTCTAGATGGTATTGCTTTGCTAATATGAATCTTGATATTGAGCACTTATTGTCCTTGTGGGAGGGCCGTACAGGCAAATATTTGGCTGGAGATTATGCTGCACGGACTGATGGTAGCGATCAGTTGTACATTAGTAATGTCTCTTGTACTTCATATGTGATTATTTATAAGCTATAAGGCAAGTAATGAAATACTCCATGATCATTTACATGTAATTTGGGCTTCCTGTGTTATGCCGATTCATTTTGTGCGACTGTTGTGTGACTGAAACAAAATGGCGGTCATATTTTGAGAAAAGTTGTCCTCGTTTTCTCGATGAAAAAGCCACAATGTTCTCCCAGATTTAGACCAGTTGTCCCTTGAGGTCTCTTCTACTTCATTTTTTAAAATTTCTGTAAGAATATTGTTATTTGTATAATAAAAAAATACCCCGTACAAGTTAGATAGAAGCATAGTTAATGTAGCGCCATTAACTATGATAGAAGTTAGAAGGACGACAGCCTAGATTTCCAGAATACTTACAGGAATTCCCGGTGCACCAGATTGTCCAGGGGGTCCGCGAGGTCCAGGAAAGCCCTTAAAAAAACACGCAAATTTTGAGCAAAGAAACAGCAATGATGGACGTTTACAACAATCCTGAAGAGAGTTGAATGAGAAAGACATGGCCCATGTATTAACAATGGATACTAATGAAGAATCGTTGGTCGGCTTTTGGTTTGAATTTCGATTGCACGTTACGTTCCCGTTGGTGGTAATTAACACACACACACACACACACAAATGGTGGCGCAGTTTCCCTTATACAGCAATCTTAATGTAACTTAGTATCGATATAATCATCTGCTGCAAAGCGCCATCACGTGATGGCAGCCATGACAGGAGGCAGGAACAATTGATCCTGGTCTAATCTGATTTACATTAGAAAGGATTCAGTTTCCCAGGGGGGAAAAGACTATTGTTATGCCTCCTGTCATGGCTGTCATCACGTGATGGTTGCAAAGCCTCTATACTTTTGGCTACAAGAATCTGGTAGTGTGTTTTTTCAGTTTAGCTATCTTTGTCTATGGTTTAGGTCATTGCGTAAATTACTGAAAGGAAATACAAAGAAAAGGTACTTACGATTGGTCCAGCGTTTCCGTTCGTACCGTCACTTCCTGGGCTACCAGGATTTCCCTAAAGAATACAAAAACAACAGGCATCCCACATTGTTAATAATGAATTAAATGCTTTATGTACTGTTCAATAAACGAGCAGGAGTGTTTTATCGGCGCAGCCGAGTGGTTTTAGACTAGATAAAACACGATCTGCGAGTTTATTAAACTCATGATTTATGTTCTCATATTGTACCGAACTCTCTACGAAATGAACCAAGTTTGATAGAGAAAATCCAAGTTAAAGTTTATGCAAATGAAGACGAATCTATATCAGATATAAAACCTCCTTCATGATCATGATTTCTATTGTGTTTCCTTCATGAATTATTAATGAATTTTTTAAAACTCTGATTTTTATCTTAAAGGATAATCCTTCAAGAGTAATCATGTTAGAAATGTATCTGGAAGCATAAAATGAAAAATGGACATTTACCTTTTCTCCTGGGCCGCCAACGGGTCCACGTGGACCGGGCAATCCCGTAAGTCCCTAAAAAAAGCAAAACAGTCACTTTATGGGAGCCAAGGGGCTTTATTTGACAGGCAATTGATAATTAATCGATATCGATCTTAAAAGCATATTTCTTTATAACCCTACCTACAGAACTCTGGCACGGAAGGGGGGGGGGGGGGGGGGGGGGGGGGGGGGGGGGAGTTAAGGAGATTAAATATATATTATTTATCCACGGTGAGTCCTTCAGGATTACAATAAATTTAAAATTAAACTTACAATAAATTTACAATTCCAATATACAATTTACAATTCCAATAATATACTAATTACTTAAATATTAATACGTCTAAATATTATTAAATATTAATAGGTCTAAATCAATACAAAAAATGAAAAATAAAATAAAACCTGCTCTACCAGGACGCCGTGCAATAATAAGCTTAGTTTCCCTGAAATGTGTGGCAACATATATGGGAATTAAATCTTGCCAGTGACGATGCTTGTCTTAAATTTAATGGCAAATTATTCCACAGTACCGCTCCGCTAGCTATAACTGAAGCTTCTTTTGAAATATTCGGTACGCGGGAGCAGAACTGCTAATTTATTCTCTGAATTTCTCAGGTCATGTGTTGTTATGTCTTTTCAATTGACAAATTTGAGCTAAGATATCGAGGTGTCTGGTTATGCAGAGCCTTATACATAAAAAGCAACCTTGCGTTGATGGTCTAGATTTTTCCAATTTAATGAGTGAAAGACTTCATCTATATCGCCATCATAACCTGAGAAGGTAATTATTCTTGCAGCACGGTTTTGAAGTTTTTGTAGTTTTTGAGAAAGACCTTTGCTGCGCAGTTTCCCCACACTATGACTAGCGTCCGAAACGTCAGTAAGTTTTTTCATCTTTTCACGGTGTATAATTTACCTTTTCATTATTACTGTTTCATTAGAAACACCGACGCAGCTCACACTAGTTTTTAGCTAGTTATATCTTTTTATGCTGCAATGATTAAAGTGAGGTCGTACCAAGGCATTGTACACAGTGTTTCACGAGGAACGAAGTACCTAATGCGTTTCATTGCACTTATTCTCGAGGCAATTTTTTTTAGATATCATATGAATATGGTTTTCACAAGTGAGATTTTGGTCTATATGCGCACCAAGTGGTTTGGAAGCAAAGACCTGTTTCACCTTTCCCCTTAAGGTGGCTGACTACTTTTCGACATTCGATTTGAACCCACGATGTGCGCGTGCTCAAAAACTGCTGAATAATCTTCACGATTTTATTGAAGAACCATACACACGTTTTGAACTTCAAGAGGGCAAAACCCTCACATTTTAGGTAATATCCCATTATTTTTATCCCATTGTCTACAATAGTTTATATGATAACTTTTATCGGTATTTTATAAATATAATGTACGTTACGTGTTTGGAGAAAATTACTCCTGTTTCTTCCTTAGTTTCGTTATTATGATTTTTTTGTACAGAGCTTGATTTTCGCTATTTTTCTTCCAAAATTATACGAATGCATGTCATTATCTCAGGGATTATCTCAAAAATCTGGGATCTATCTCAAAAACAAGCTCGGGACACCCCATTTTTCTTTGCATTTTTGAAAACAGCATTAAATTTTAGAATAAGGAAGTTTCAATTTTCAATTCTCTGTTTATAGTATTTACCAAAGTAGTCAGCCACCTTAAATGAGGATGTTTGGACTCTCCTGGGTGTTTGATAGCCTCTGATTCGAGCCAATCAGCAAAAAATCAGTTTTAGTCATATTAAGTGTGAGCTTGTTTCCAGCAAGCCAATCATGAATTTTGGACAGATCAAAATTGACGCATTCATTAATTTGGTTTTTATATTATTCCTGGCAAATGTCATGCTTGTGTCGTCGACATACATTCGTAGCTGGGAATAAGTCAGGCAATTAGGTAAATCATTGATGTATAACAAAAACAAGAGGGGGCCCAAAATGGTCCTCTATGGCACTCCGCACCGAACCAATGCCCTAGACGACTTGCAACTATTTACTATACATGTCTGTGATCTTTTATTTATATATGAATCAAACCAATCCAAAGAGTGACCGGTTGGTAGGTCTATACCATGTAGCAATAACAAAAAATTCATATCTTGGCTTTTGGATTTCAATTGATATGCTTTCAAGCTTTTTAAAATTTAAATCATTTCTAATGACATATTTATATTAGTTCGAACAAACTCTATCTCCACTGAAAGTTATATCAAATATGTTTTCGACAACAAAGAGTAAAGCGTCGTTTCGGCAGCCAGAATAATAAGATAATATATTTTCACCGGGAACTCCAAGCACATAATGCTCAAAATAAGCTATGGGAAGAATAGAACTTTATCATACGGCGGCCATTGTTTATTCTCTTGAGAATTGTTTAACACGAATAAATTTATTTTCTAGCACTTTAATACGAGGCTAGACGTGGTGGAATCTATTGCTCAATCTAACATGGCTGCCACATACTGAAAAAAGGCCTATAGCCTTGATGGTATTAAAAAGAAGCCTCACATTAAAGGCAGGAGAAAGCAGTCGTGTTAGTTTGTTATAGTAACTCAGTGTAAAAACACCCCTCTTATCAACCAGAAATATGTGCCAAACGGATGAATAAAAATACTTCTAAAAGGTACATTACCCCAAGACCGGCATCTCCCTTTGGTCCCTTAGGCCCACGTGATCCTGGTGCTCCCTGAAGATAGTAAATAAAACGTTAGTATTCACCGACAAGATAAAAGGAAAAGGACGAAGCGCGAGGCCGCGGCCTTTGAACTAATGACTTCGAGAAAGCTTACGTCTTTCTTGTCAAAAATACGGTCATAACCAGTTTACTAAAACTCAAGATCACAGTCACAGTACTTTTTGGGTGATCAAGCAGATACATGTCCAGGTACTTACAGGTCTGCCATCTTCACCAGGCTGGCCATTTTCACCATCCTGTCCAGGTCGTCCGTTCGCACCAGGTGCTCCAGGCATTCCAGGATTTCCAGCTGGACCTCGAGCTCCCTAGAAAAAACAATGAATTATCATAACATTATGTAATATAACACATGGTAATGACGGCCCTTTTACATGCATATATGGTTGTGTACCGGCGCAGTCAACGTCTAAGTGAGAGGCCAAAACAGCAAAGAAGAAAKATTTTTTGTCGTGTGTTAAATAATTGGAAACACACAAGGAATGCAAATGAAAGCTTTACAAAGTGCAAAGATACGACCGTATCTAGCAGGAGAACGCGCGGTTTACAATAATGAAAACAAACATTTTGTCTGATACCAATTAAAAAAACTGTAAAGACACAACGGTACTAGAGTGGATTTAGAATAAATGCGAAACAGCAGGACGCATGCGCACAACGCCATCACCATATTGAATTGACAACATTCTTTGTGCCAATCACAGAACGCGAGATCACTGCGTATCGATCCAATCAAACAAGGCATCGCCACGTTCAGGGTACGTCTATACTACAAGAAAATTGTTCTACACAAATATATATTGCTTCAACATCTAATGGTACCTTGATTCCAGGAATACCAGGTCTTCCAGCGTTGCCAGCTACTCCAGGAGGACCCTAATTATATAATTCAGACAAAATCAGTCTCTAAAGTTATAGCGCAAATTGGTTACTTTTAATCTGCTGATCCATATTGTTTTTAATGAGAATTGGACACATATGGTAACAATCTTCTTCAGTAGAGATTGGGTGCAATGTCTGCTGAATGCAATAATCTTCGTTATGAGTTACATGAGTATGAGCCATGTTTACATGGGGTATGACAAGGGGTAAGTGACACCACGATAGTTTACTTACGGGTGGTCCTTGAACTCCTGGTCGTCCTTGTGCACCTGTGCTTCCTCTTGGACCCTATAAAAAGGCACCCATAAAGAATCAAATGAGCAAGAAATTTGACACTTTGAACTCGGGAGGTCCCCGGGGATACAAAGTGTGGTGCTGCACGTCTTGCTTGGGAATCCCTCCCTTCCAAAAATATACCTGTATATTCATTGATCATTTTGGTTGCTCCTCTAAAATCAAGAAGTCTTTCTTTGCAGAGCCATCTATTCAGATTTCCACTAAATTTCTGCAAACCTACTTCAACAAGATTCCGAAGGAGTATGTTGAGGGACGACCCGTTTCTTCGAAATTGTTATCTTGAGAGTCAAGGATGGTGCAGCAGCACTTCACTCGCCTCTCATCTCTGGGGCTTTGGGTTCCTCGACACGATATTACATTTGAAGCGAGTTTTTTTGGGTCGATGTGTGAATTAGCCGTGTTCTGACTTTGATAAGCCCAGAGGTTGTTCCAGGGTATGGATCAGAAAATCAGCTATGTTTAAATATTAAGTCATTATCATATTTAATAGGGGAGAAATTTCCCTTGCTAGACGTCAATGTAACCACACTTTCGATCTTTAGATGGCGATAAGGATTCTGGGTTCGCATATTAACAAGCGTTATACTTACGAGGGATCCAGGTCTTCCTCTGCTTCCCTTGTCTCCACGGTTTCCAGACATACCCTATAAAGTCATAACATGAAATTGGAACCAACTGAATGCATGTAATATAGTAAGGTGTAAAAAAGGAGAATACAGTGATGATTGACTATCTGTCACTCACTTCTTTCATTGTCAATGTCCAACGTGATTTGAAATTTTAAGGCTTTGGTTTGGTCATCACGTAGTGTAAGAAAGAAATAGGTACACCAGAGCAAGATATGATAGATCTGTATGGACATGTGCATGGGCAGAAATCGAGGACGACCTTTAGTTTGAACTGCGGGCGCACATTATCGAAGAAATCATTACTGCGCATGCGTATATCGAGAATTCAAAATGGCATTTTAGTACAGGATACGGAATTTGCACAGCAAAAGCTGCTTTTCTTGCAGGAGAAGAATTTACGTACTTAAGAGATGGGTTTTGTATGCAAACTTTTGGTGGCCACGTGTAATCAAGAGGTGGAATATCCGCCATTTTTTAATGATTTTGCGACCGAAATCTGTGTGTACAGCAGTTTTCTCATACTAGTACCCAGGCCTTTATAAAAACAATCCGTTCTTTTCAAAATGGAGACAGAATTATTAATATTAACGATGTTTTCTGTGTTTTATTCCCATGATCCAACTGCTGAGAGTCAAAATTTCAGTCAAATGGTCAGTGCAAATTATAGGGAAATTATTATAGATTTAGAACTCATTTTAACCGTCTATTTATGGCATTAAATAGCGTTAAAGGATGGATCGAAGGTGATTCTGGGCAATAAAATATGGTCTTTCTCAGCATTTTGGGTGTTTTCTTAAGGTATGCATAGCAGATAAATACTAAATATTCATAGTGAAATGGTACTTGTTTTCAAAGACCTTTAAACTTTAAGTTATCCTGCAGTTGTTTCTGAAGTATACAACGCGGACAATTTCCGATCGTGGCAATTTTAACCCTTTTAGTACCTTTTCTAGAAAAGGAAGATTTCTAATATGTTTCTTACTAGCCGGGG